ATATTTGTACTGAAACATAAAGTTAAATTATTTAATATTGATTTTGTTTGAAATATTAAAAATTTAATTATATTATAATTGTAATAATTTTTTTTTATTAAATTGCATTAATTTGATTTGGTATTCAATTGCATAATTTAAGTTGAAATTTTTTTGTTATATTTTAATTATCATGTAGACCGTTCAAATCATGTTTACCTTTTAAGTAAAAGATAAGTTCTTAAAAAAATTCTTCCGTTGGATGGACTGAGGTTTGGTTCCTTGACGAATAATGTACATGCATGCGAATTATAAAAATTATTTCCGGATTTAGTAAGATGTGAATTACAATAAAAAAGTTAAATAACTTTCAGTAAAAGTAATTTTCATGAATAAAAAAGCCATTAGTTTCTTGTAACATCCCACGCTGCAGCAAATTTTGCTTAAAAATGGCCGCCGTTGCCGTGCCGAGCCCGGCGTTCGGGGTTGAGAGCTGCCGTCGGGAGTATTATTTATGTACGAAGCTCGGTATTTTGTTGTATTTGCCGGCCATAATTCACCATGCAGCGCACGGGACTTTGGCGTTGCAGTCGTAAATCAGGCTCGTTGCGAGGGTTGGTGCGGTGCTCACTCGCTTGCTCGGGGATGATCAGCTCTCTCGGCTAATGCAAACACACGCCGCAGCAGCCGGCCGGCTGATAACGATTTTTATTATCATGCTCGCCACCATTACACTAATTTGTAGGCTCATGTACCAGCACTCTTTGCGCGTTGCCCACGCGTTAAACAACCAGCACCGCAGCATGTATGTCTAGCACGTTGCTTCCTGCCCCCAAACAAACAATGGCCAAATTTAATGAGGCAGTCAGCAGCCCACGCCATTTACATGAAATTCGGAAATTTATTGCTCGTCAAGCAAACAAACACTTCTTGTGAAAGATTTATAAGGTAGATGGGTTTATTTTTAATTTGTTTTTTAAATATTAAAATTGTTGTACGTAAATTTATTAACCAATCACATAAAAAATATAACCCAAAACCCTGCTTGTTCCTGAAAGCACAGGAAATCCATTCAATGGCCCAGCGATAATATCTGTTAAAAATTAAACCTAAAGATTAAAAAATGCTATGTCTAATGTAATCAATTATTTTGATTTATTTATAAAAACTTCACTTCATCGTTTAGTTGCGTTAAACAGGATGATGAAAAAGTAATAAGAAATCGATTTTCACTAACATTGTGAATATTGAATTTATTGATTTTAATCCTAAAAGCTTTTCCAGAAAATATAATTGTTTTTTTTTTAATCTCAAATTTTTAGATGAATTTTGAATATTTTGATGATGAGTCTTGATTTGATAAAAATGTATCTGTTATGTACACCAATTAACTTAATTGACAATAAGGATAGTAAATTTAAAGAAAGTTTTGAAATCTAATATAATTAATATACATTGAATAATATATGTATATTTAAATTCTTTAACGTCGCCTTCTGAAATAAAAAGAATTTCCATCAAAACCATTTAATATTCTTTACATTGCTTTTCATTATATTCCCAATTCACATTTTTCATGAAAAATCGGTTATGTGTTTCAGATATTGAAGTCTCCTTATCAGAGTATGGACTGAATCTACCACTGCCCAGATCTCGTCAACCACCACTGGTGAGTAAAATTATCTTTACGTCAATTTTTTTTAAAGAAATTTCTATTCAAATGGTATTAAAACCCTTATAGTGAAAACAGTTATAAAACGGGCTGTTTTAAATTATTTTTATTTTTTGTAAAATTGACGATGATAATATTTATGAAAAGAAATAAAAAATATTGTGCTCCACCACATTCCGTAAGTCAAGAACTCGAGCTCCGATTCATTTGATTCTCTCCGTCGTACCCTCGGCGTGGGTTCGTTTTTTGTAGTCGATCCTATTGGAAGCTCTAGAACATCGGGTGCGCGTGCACATCACACACACACACACACACACACACACACACACACACACACACACACACACACACACACACACACACACACACACACACACACACACACACACACACACACACACACACACACACACACACACACACACACACACACATACATTGTTGTTGTGGATGGAGCCATTCGGCGTTTATTGCACTTGATTGAAAGCATGCTGTCGTAAAATTGCGCGCGCGAGGCACCAGCAAATAAACGATTGCGGCCGCATTACGGCTTAATAATCCATCACACTGTGCTGACGTGCATTTTTATTATTGCTCGCACATACCAGCATGCCGTCGGTGAATTTATCTTTGATAATGGACAAAAATTCAAGTTCAGGCAAAAATTCTGCGGAAGAGTCGTCATTTGATAAGAATAATGAAGGCTTTAGAGCTGCAAGCGCCGTGATTGTTATGCAACCGACCTCTCCCATGCATACACGTCGCGCAGGTTGCATAATTTACAGGAGTTTGTAGTATCATCAGTGATCTTTTCATGCATTTATATATTATAATAAAAATTAAAACTTGCCACATAGTTTTTTGAAGTTAGTAAAATTTGGTCTATAAAATTTTATTTTCATTTGTTCAAAACGTTTATTATTGAACAAAAGGAAAAATTTATGCTTGCAACATCTTAATCCTCCTTTTAATCAAATAGTTCAAAAATTCAATTATCTAAAAAAAAAAAAAATTCATTTAATATTGTTGGATTGAGTCTTACAAATTTCATGTATTAAATTTAAAATAAACCAAAGTATAAGATTTTATCCCTTGAATAAAAACTTCTTTTGATTATATTAGTGAGTTTAGGCATCTAACTGAAAAGGTTTCTCTTATAAAATTAACAATTGTCCCTACCATTCCTGAACTGACATTTTACTCTTTTGAAATATTGCGGCTCCACATCCCTTTTCACTCTCAGTGGTGTATGTGATGCAAGGCACAATAAATTCCTGCCGCATTGCATCACCTCTCGTCCAGGCGGGTGCACAAAAAATGAAGCTCAAACTCTCGCTTTCAAAATTTATTTTTGTTTATTTACCCTCGCCGCTTGTTAAATTCGAATCCATCTCTCTGTCGAGTCAAGTTCGTTGGCTCCGCCGTAAATATCAGAAGAAGTGCATTGTGAGGCGGGTGTGGAAAAAACGCCCTTGACCGGTTGAAAAGTGCCAAGAAAAGGAGCGCAGAGCAAAAAAATGCCAGCCGAGGAAGGATTGATTTTTGTTCTCGAAGCTGCACAATGGGAATTCCTGCATGCTCGGCCATTTTTTGCCCTTCTCGCTCTTTCACGCTGATGAGAAAAGAAACCGAGAGTGAAATAAATCACGCTCGCCGACGTCAATAAAATGCACAAGTCGAATAATTACACTTTTGTACATTTGAAACGGACGAACGCATCTGCTTCGGACGAAAATAATGATAAAAAATCTGCTGCTTCATTTTTGAAAAGTGAATGGGGTGTGAGAATCGTAAAATGGCCAGTCGGACTGGTTACAATAATTTGCATCTACTGTCCCATCACGCCTCAAGCAATTAGACAAATTGTAGCAATGTGTAATTTTACTACCACGATGGCCATTTTACGTTTTTTACGGCGCTGCACGGTCAAGAAGCCGGCGAGGGGAGGCTCCCTTTTTGGAAATGCAAATGCAGAAATTGTTACATCGAGTTTTATTGGCGATTTGATTTGTGACTGCTGGAAACGCACACGTGCTTCGGATTGCATGTCGAATTAAAGCTGCTGCAGGCGACAAAAATAAGAGGGAAGGGGTTGGAAAACGACGTATAAATCATTTTTGTAATTACTTCCTGCGCACTTGCACTCACTTATATGTGGACCCTTCGTGGACTACATAATTAATTTTAATACTTGACCTGAAATAAATTAAACTAAAAGTACGTTCTATTTTTCTGAGTGAATTTTACCAAAGAAGCAGAAAAAAATCAAATATAATAAAAGATACATACATAAATAAAATATTCTGTGCTCTAAATATAGTAGAGATTCTTGTTCAAAATCTTCTAATTGATTTTGATCAAAATTCATATTTAAAAAACTTTAAAAAATTTCGGTGATGGGAAAACGATACGATTGCGGAATTGATTAAATAAATAAACAAAAATGGCCTAATAAGACTGACAGAAGCCCCCCCCCCCCTTAAAACATGCAGCATTATAACAAAATTAAAAAAATAATTAAAAATCCCTGTTCAAAAAACATATGTATGAATAATGAAGATTTCGAAGCGTGCGAACAATTTTCTGAAAATTTTAATAATTCCAAGGAAAAAACGGAGTTGGGAAATTAACCAACATGATTAAATTTTCCCATAATTAGAAAATCTGCGTTCTTCGGTACTTAACTTATTTCGTACTTTTCAATTTAGGGACTGTAAATCTTGTATTTTTTAATCAGTGCAGATTGAGATTTTTATGTGAAATTCTCATACGATCAAAAGAGGCAACATTTTTAATAAATTAATACTAAATATCATTGTTCTGTTTTCATAATTACGTGGCACTAATTTTCTTCCTTATTGCAAATATTCACAATTTTTATTTGACAGTAAAAATGATGAATTTATGATCAAAATAATTCGAATAATTCAATAGTTATTTTATTGTTGCAGTTTTGCAGCAATTAAACTTATTGTTATTTTTAATGATTTGAAATTTGAATGAAACTAGAAAGAAAATTATTTTCATTAAAATAGGAACATAATATTTAAAAATTAACATTTTGATTTCACAGTCCAATTTAATAGCTGCTCTGGTGTCTTAAATGCAATAAAATATGATGTGACACAAGCCGTGCTCCATGACAGGATATTCAAAGAGTGTAATATTTAGTCTGCGTCTCTCCTTCAATATTTATTTATTATTTTAGCCTCTCTCTGCATCTCTCCCACACAAGGCAGACCTTTTTTATTGCGGCTTGTCTTCAGAGATGCTCCAACAATAACACATCCTCTGCTCACTCCCACATTTCCTGCCGCTGCTTTTTTAATTGACTCCGGGCAAGAGAAACAAATTGAAGCTATTTTGAAATCAAACCAACTCCGCAGCCATCTCGAAATAACGTCACTTGGCCTGTTTGTCAGTGTTTTGTTGTTTTGAATAATAATTTTACACTTGGAGACGCTTCGAATTCATTGGCTGTCCGCTTAATATGCGTGTCGGCCTGCCAGGGGTCAATCCTTTGATGGTCCACTTTTACGACCTTGCCCAGTCTTTGACCGGAGATGTCTTTTATTAAAAATTCTCAAAGGCTTCTTTTCTCATCGGGTCTCGCTTTTGTCACCCGTCTGGTCTGCGATTTTCCACGCTTCTCGGCCATTTTTCTTCGTAAGGTCACAGTCAGGATAGGTTCTCTGAAAATAAAATTTCTTTATCATCTCCGATATTGTGGCGTTTACCGAATGTTTTCACATTAATAGTTTTCTTTTTTCAAACTTTTTACGCTGAAAATTAATTTGCATCATTTTTACTGCTGCGTTTGAAAAGTGTCCGTTGTATGAATTTTTTGTAATTCATCCTTACAATTAGAAGATACATGTGTAAAATTTTTATATTTAAATGGAGATGAACAACTTGGAAAAAAGTTATTCAAATTTTTATTCAGCCCTAAAGTACAATATTAATATTCTATATTAAATATTTATCATATTTATACTTTGTGTTGGCTTTTATCTAATTAGTGGGGATTTTAAACAATGTTATATGTATTATTAATTAAATTGATAAAATATTCATCTTTGTAACCCACATCCACTCTACAACATTTTTTGCTGGAAAATTACATAATGGTTTTTAGACTGCTAACGCAATATTTATATCTTAATAAAGAAGTTACAAATAAAAATTAGAAATATCACAATAAGTATAACTATTGCTAAAAATTTATAATTTAATTTAATAATAAGTAAATCTTTTAAATGTTATAAAAAAAGTTTAATAAAGTATAAAAACGAATAACAATTTAAAATTTCTATTTGTTTAACTAATTGCTTTTAAATTTTAAACGTAAATATAAATTTGATTTTATTTCCAAAATACTTCCTCAGAAATTGCATTTATAGGGAATAAAATAAAATGTTTTACCACATTTTTTTACACTCCTTAGCGCCAAATCCAAATTTATTTTTTGAATTGTACCCTCGGGTGGTGCGAGTGCGAGGCTTTCGTACGAGATGTCTCCACGGTGAGTTTCCGTTATGGGCCTCCATCATGAAACGTGTTCTCTCCATGGGGATGGGTGTGCGCGGCGAGGAGTTCTCGGAAACATATAATCAAGGATGCCATGTCGCTCTCAGCGCCGCGTTTATTTATTCTTTTTCTTCCAACACATCTCGTCTCATGACCTGGAAAAAGAAAGAAGAAGAAACTCAATGATTGGGAAGAAGAAAAATCATTTTTGAATGCGTGCCAAGAGAATATTTCAATCAGCGCAGATTGCATCACCACTTCGGCATATATAATATATAAAAATAGAATGAAAAACGACGAGCGATCGAGGCGGAATGTATAAATATGTATGCAGAAGCCATCGCTCGAATTTTAAGAGCAGCGCTTTGCTCTGGCAAGCAGACGTTAGTTTTGGTTCATGCATATTTAATCTCTGGCAGGAAGCGTTCTTTAGGAATTTCCTTTAAAGAAAAAAAAATGAAAGTCATGCACAAAATTTGGAATGTGATGTTCATCAAATTAAGTACAGTAAAATATATACTGGTTAAAATTTGCATATTTTATTATATTTTCTTATCAACAAAAAAAGTAGCAAAATGCAACCTGCTAAACCTTTTTGTTGTGATGGTTGCATAAATATATACTTGAATTAAATTAAATTCAATGTAACTAATAATGAGAATAGAAATTTTACAATTTTGCAATAAACAAATATAAAAATACAAAATTAAACAATAAGTCTATTCTGATAAATTTAACTTGGTTTCCATTTCATGAAACATTATAATTTTTACTAAATTAATATATATTTTTTTTAATTAATGCGCGAAGTATTTTATTCCATTAGGGGCAAATCCGATTCGTTAATAACGCGAGAATGATGATCGGCTTGCGCTCGTCGTTCAGTGCATTTATTCATTTATTCCATTCGCTAATCCAGGCTGGGTGTTTGTTTTACGACTGCGTGCGCCAAAGCCCCCTCCCAGCGCGCACACTATTGCATGCCGAATGTCTGCCAGTTATCTGGCCGACGTCCGCATTGCCTGCCGATTGCAGGTATCGTCGGCCAGTCGTCTGCCAGTTGATCGCAGGCATGCAACGAAAGGGACTTTGGCGCGAGCGAGCGCCAGAGCTAAATGAAGGCGCGTTACAGGCGATCGGCATTGAATGCCCATTTAATGCCGACCAGCAATCGGCAGACATCGAAGATGTCACTGCGGTCGAATCATTGGAAACTTCGGCTGTCATCGATCATTGAAAGCATTTTTATTTCCAAACAAAGTTCGTTGCAACGTTCGTCCATCCGAGTTTTGTCCCGAAAATCTTTGAACATCCTTTAGAATTCATCACTTTTATGCCCAGTTTCAAGTCTTTAAGTATTTTGAGTGTCTGTTCCTTGGATTCATCAATGAAAATGGCCCGATTTTGTGAAACTTTGCAGGTAAATACAAATCCTAAATTTTATGTTCCATTGCACCCCGCATTTTGCGGCTAAACCCAAAAGTTATTAAACATCCCTGCTGAATTTAAAATAAATCAAGAATAATAGATTTGAACGAGACTAATTGAAATAAATTTAGTCTTATAATATTAACGGTTCGCAGACTTCAAATTTGGTATTATTATTTTTCAGACAATTTTCTTGATGCAGCGTTAATACGGAGGAAGGCCAGTACGCGCTTAAACACAAACTCCCAAATTGGTGTGGACTTATGAGTGTGGTTCGTTTATTAAATCGTGTGCTTATGGAAAAATTCAATTTATAATATCACAACGGAGGCATCATGTATTCACGTTTAAATTTTAAATTGTTGTATTAAAAAAATTATATAATTTAATATAAAAATTACTTTTTGTATCATTTTAAAATATTTTAACATTTAATTATTAAAATTGAAATGAACAATTTTTATTATATGCCTCAACGTAAATGCATAATTTTTCTTTCCACTTTTGCATTGCTCTATTTCCTTTTCTAATTTTACAAATTAATCAATATTTAGAAAAATTACATAGAGCCTACATGCAATGACTGAATTTTATATTATACTGAATCCAAATTAACAAATATTGGTAAAAAATATATTCAAAAATATAAAATGCAGTTATTGCATATAGGCTCTATGTGATTTTTATAAATATTAATTAATCTGTAAAATTAGAAAAGGAAATAAAAGGAATGCAAAAGTGGAAAGAAAAATGATGCATTTACGTTGAATGCGCATGCAACTGGCATGCAACGGACGGTCATCTGCCGGCCGACAACTGGCAGACGACTGGCAAGCGTTAGGGAAAATTGAATGTCAATGCATTGCCGGCCGATGATCGGCATTAAATATTGACCGATAACTGGCAGACGACTGGCATGCAACGGTGTGCGCGCTGCTGCGCCGCCGCCGAGTGCATGCAAGTACACTTTCCGCGCTCAATGGAGCGCCATAAATTTCTCAAACGCACCTACGATATATACTCTTATTTGATATGCTCGCTAGCTTGAATGCAACTGCTAATAATCCCGCGCGCGCCCTGCGCTAATTTATGGGCCGAATGTGTATAATCAGCATCATTGCCGCTGAACATGCAGCCAACGAAACCTTCCAAGGTTTCCATATCTCTCTCCTTTATACAAATGCGGTCACATTGGATCAATAAATGTATGGCTGACAGAAAGCATTAAGCAAACAAATAATGCGTTCCGAGAAATCATTTGAATAATTAAGTATGGGAGGGAATAAAATGTTAGACGGGAACTTCTGGGAAAGAGTTGCATGAGTCTTTGTAATTTATAATTATTGCACTTAGCTGACTCTCCGTACTGTAAATCTGAATTTTTTATGAGCAAAAACTTCATTCATTATTAAGTTTTGAGACGGAATTTCTCAAATTATCGCAGCAGTCCCTTCCTCTCCCATATCAATTTTTGAATTTTTTATTTTATAACTGACACTTTGAAGTTTACATGAGGGTAGGTGATTTTAACTTTTAAATTTTAAAATATAAAAAAGCACAAAATATTTTATTCCATATTTTGCTTAATCAGAGAAAAATCTGACATTAATGTGAAGCTGTTTAAATAAATTTAACGAAATAATTATTGAAAAGTAAAAATGTAATTAATTCTCATTCATAATAATATTATTTAAATTTTTCCATATTTTAGGCACAAAATATACTGAAAAAATTTGCGACATAAAAAAGATGCAATATCCAGTTTTTTTGTATTACGATTTGTATTCAACGCAGGGTCTCCATTTCCTTCCACCATAAGCATGAATTTTTCATCAACAAAAAATGAACGTCGTCAGCTGCATCAGATGTGTTACGACGCACTTTTCCAATCTGCTGCTTCTCTTTTTCTTTCCTCCTCTCCCATCACCTTTTTAAATTTTTAATCCCGAGCGAAACTAAACAAATTCATCCTCCTTAATTAAAAAAGACTCTGTTCCGGAATATTTTAATCCCCCTGTACACCAAAATCCAACTTAATCTCCAAGCAGATTTTCAAACATCGGAATTCCTGTTCCCCTCTCTGCGGAGTGAAAAATATTTATATAATGCCGACGACTTGTGCTCTGAATATAATTCGGTACCGTGGCAGCAAAAAATAATTTAAGGTCTGCGCTGAGCCACTTAAGAGCGACGCGCATGTGGCGTAGTCGGAGAGATAAATTAGAATATTGTTCTCAATTTAAAAGTGCTGTACGCCTTGAACGGGCGGCGGCGATAAATTTTGATTAGCCTCGAGCGTAGCTAGCGGGCCTCTCTGCCGCCGCCACTGATGTAATTACGCGCATAAAAAAGATAATGAACGCTAATTAACTTGTCTCTCAGTCAGTCTCTCTCGTTCATTTTTCCGCCTCCGGCTTTGCCGAATAACTTCGCCAATTTATGTTTCTCCGCCGAGCTAGCGGTTGAAAATTCTGGCGTTACGAATATTAAAAAAAAAAATGTTCGGCGGCTTTGAATATTATATATTTTTCACATTTTATATACACGCTTCTGTCGGAAAATGGGTCACTTCTATATATAAATTATATTTTTTGCTCGAGTCAGCTTAAATTTCTGGCTGTCTCGGCTCGGCGAATATAAAAAAGCAGTCTGCGCGAAATCTTCTTGGGCGCACAAAGTATGAAAATGAGGGTGGTCGTGCTGAGGCATCACAGTCGGGGCTGAATTACCAGCTCCTCGCGTCGACACACACACAGAAATGGGCACACTGCAGTATATATGGAGCACTGCAGAGAGCGCCATTTAATCCGAAGAACAGCTCGGCAGACCAACTTTTGCCGTATAAAAGCAGCGACATTTAACGCTCTGCAGAGAAACACAGAGAGCGCGTCGAGAAAGGATGAGAATGAGCGGAGAGCGGCGAGATATACGGCCAAATGTACTTTTTAAGTGATGCGCGCAGCACTTCCCTCGGAATACCAAGCAGCACGGAGAGGCCCTTTCGCCTCTAAACACCAATGCGGAAAACTTCCCGAAACTCGTTTTCCTTCCACGGAGAAAGAGCAGATCGTGCACGGCTATTTATTTCCTGGCTGACGAGGCAGTTTTTGTCTAACGGAAAGTGGACTCACGCTGATGCAGTAAGAGAAATCGGACTCTTTCCTGACAGCGATACAAGCAAAGAAACATGCCGAGGAGTGAGAAAATCTACAACCGATGGCAATACATGTATAAAAATAATTAAGAAATTTTAAACTAATATCTGTCTGCAAAAACATAGTACATCCCAGCCAGTCCTCAATCTGCTAAGAAATAGCAGATTGCATCCACTAAAAATCTTCTAACATCTTAGTGTGATTAGTGCCCCACAACGGGAGTAGATATAAATCTGCTATGATAGCATATTTTTGTACCACTAACATAGAAGACGGAATCTTCTATTTAGGAATTTCTTAGTGGATTTGATAGTGGTTTCACTTCACTCTAATAGTGGAGTCAATATGGCGGCCACTTGCTTGATAGTGGATTGATAGTGGAATTTTTAGTGGATTTCAATCCACTAAGATTGAATTTGGCGGTTGAAAAACAAGAAAAACGCAGTGGTTGTTATGATTGTCATTTATTTTATTTTTTCATTCAATACACAAAACAAAACAACAAAATAAAATATTTAAATAAAACAATAAGTACATTACATTTCTCGGTGAACAGCGCTGCATCAGATGAGTGGGGTGGCAAAGAACACTATATTGGGTCGATCGGGTCACAGCACCAAGAAAACTTGTTAATTTTTATTCAACTTTGACGACCACGTTTTTCACGTCACTCTGGAAATACAACAATAATTTCGTTATTATTTGCCCGGTTAATCAACTAGATCTTTAAATTTACCTGCAAGTTTTTAAAAGACAATGTCAGAGCACAGGTTCCTTTCTTCAATAACTTTATTTTAATCCTTCAGGCGCGGGCCGCTCGTTGGGCCGGCGCGGGGATGCTGTAGAGTTGGCGTTTTTTTGCTAGATCTACAATTTAAATATCATGATTATCTATTTATTTTCTACTTTTATGAATACTCCTACTAACCGTTCTTTTCCGTTCTCCAGAATTCTTCTCTATGCCACTTTTTTGAAGAGATAAACGCAGCGAACTTTTTCCATGCACGTTGTGCAGGTCGCGTACCTTTCCAAATGCCACCACTCGTTTTCGACGCGCTCTCCCCCTGTTAAAAAGCAAGACGGCCGCATATCCAAAGCTCGAGCCGCTCATGGCAACGTCAGGGTGGCGCGAAAAATACCTGAATATTTCCAACCAGGGAAAACTCACTATGCAAAATAATTTTTATTTTTAATATTTATGTTGAAAATATAGTGTCTGTTGATTCATAGCGTTTTATTAGAATTCATCAGATTTTTTTTAGTTCACGTTTAAGATTGAACTCAGTTAAGAGATTGAAAAACAAATAAATTGTAAATTATTTAAATATAATTAAAATAATAGTTTCAATGAATCTGTCAAGGTCTTGAGTTGCTATCATGCTCTCATAAATTAAAATAAATATGATTGTGTTCCGTTATTGTAAAAATTGAGCGCAAACTGAATTTTTCAATTAAAATATTTACATTTACTGCTCCCCAATAATGCATCTTAGAAAAATTAAAAAAGCTCTAATTCAATCGGAAAAATTTACAACCATTTGTTTTTTATTTAATGCTAGATATCGAAACACAAAAGAATTTTTTTATTTCAGCATTTTATCTTCTTTAGGATAATTTACATGTGTTTTGGAAATTCTGGATTTATAAAAGTTATGCGCGTGCGAGCTACTGCCAACATCACTGGGTTTTTCGTTAGAGTGCCAAATCCACTATCGGAGTGTCAATTCCACTAAAAATCCACTAAGAAAACCACTAAGAAGTTGATAGCAGAAGAGGACCACTAAGAAATCTTCTATAAAATCCACTAACATTCTTTAGTGGATTGATTAGTGGATGCGGTCTTCTATCGATAGCAGAATTTTAGAAGATTGTTAGTGGTTTCTTCTATCGCCAGTTCAATCCACTAAGAAATCTTCTTTGATAGGAGAATGTTAGTGGATGAGGACTGGCTGGGATAGTTTATATTATTCCTTAATAATTATAAATAATTCAGAACTTAATTTTAGTTTGTATATTTACATATTTTTTTTTTACTAATTATTTTATAAATTTATTATTTTAAAATTTTTGTTGTGTTTTACAATTTATTCTTGCTATTTCTTTAATTAAAAGAAAAAATGCGATTCTTTTTGGTACGTAACAAATAAATATACTTCACTTAAAAATAATTATTTCGCATTTTCTATAGAAATTCAAATGGAGCAATCAAATTAAAGCCTCAGATGTTCTTTTATGTAAATAAGCTATTGGAATTATAAAAAGAAAATAAGTAACAGCATTTCTATTGTATTAAAGAGAATAATTGTTAACAAATTGTAATTCATGAAGCATTTTCTTCTCCGGTAATACAATCTAGAGTTATATTAAAGATGCCTAGACCATTATTCTCTCAAGCAAGAGAGCGTCACGTCGCTGCAACAAACACATCCGTCTCTTCTCTCTCTTCAAATTCTCACAGAGAAAAACAACACCCAAGGGCTCTTCCCTGCAAGTGGAATTGCCTCTTGACTTGGAAAGCATTCGACATTGGCAGCCAGAGAGCGTCCTGTGTGTGCCAATGATGAATAATTCAAACCCCATTGTACCAGCACTTATTGATGAGAATAAGCAGCACTCAAGCACGTCCTTGTCGGCTGACATTTTGAGACAAAAAAAAACGAAGACAAGAAGAGAAATCCTTGAGTTGCATGTCGAGGGATAATAACGTGAAAAATGATCGGCGGCGACTTTGAATCGAGAGGATAAAATTATGAATTTATAATCAGTTCTCGGACGCCGCGGAGATTTCTTCCGATTGGTTTCGCCCATTGGGCAGCATTTTTTTATGCTTTTTATTGCTGGGAATAATAATCGTGTAAATTATTTATTTTATTGCGCATGAGACAGACATTAAATTTAGCGCCGGAATTATTCCTAATGGGCCCAAAGTGAACACCGGGGCGGCCTAATAAGTTTGGCGTTTTCGAGAATATAATGGCGCGGGTGCGTTTGTGTATTCTCTCGCGCGTTCGTGCGTTGTGTATGTTATTTATCCAAAGCCTGCGAGCCATCAAGCAGCGTAATTTACGACCAGATCAGGTGGTCCCTGACAAGCGGCAGAGGCAAGCCAGACTTGCAGACTCAAATTAGATGATGGACTCACAGATTAGTGCTGGTTCATCTCGTTAGTCAGGCACGTCCACGGCGCACCGAGCCTCAGCCAGCACGAATATTTTCACGTTCGCCGCTTATTTATTAGTGAAAATCATGCTCAGGATTCGGAATGGCTGCTCAGTCGGCGGAGAATGAGTATTTTTAAGCCGAGCGAGAGGGGATTTGGAAAACAAGACGCATTCTTGAGATGCAAGACTCGCCATGTCGTGAGATTCTCGTTGATTTTCAAATGCTATAGATATCTATAAAAAGCAAAAGAAACGGAAGTAAAAAAGATTAAAAAATTTCTGTGTGAAGGGACATTTCAAATATATTTTTTCTTTTGAACTTCCACCTTTATAAATCTTTTTGCTAAGTTTAAAATAATTCGTGGTGAATTGAATTTAACGTCTGCTTTTCCTTGAATCATTTATTGAATCAACTCTTGAAAATTTGAAATATTTTTTTTTTAAATTTATTATATTATTACTTTTCTTATTTGTTACCAAAATTTATTTGTATACTTTTAAACCGATAAATAAAATTTTACAAAACTAATTATACAAATTTAATTAATTTTTGATAGTAATTTTTAGTCTAATATGCGAATTAAATTATTTCAATCTAGAACGCCTGTTGGTATGCAACCCTATTGCATCGACGCTCACCAGGTTGCAGCTCTGCAAGTCAAGGGGCTCTTTCTGTCTCTCCTCTCCCTATATGTTTAGCTTCGGGAAAATTGGCGGAACATGCGTTTCTCTCATTTTACACGCGGAATATGAAAGATAAAACATTTTAAATTAATGCTCTTATATTCCGAGCTGACAGTATTTAAGCATTAAAGCAGATAACTTTTATGATTTTATTGCTTCAATTTATTTAATGGAGGGTGGCATTTTTTTTTTCAGGAAAGGTACATTATATTACTCATACACTGGTATGGGATTAGCGACGTACAATGTCTCTGAGCCAGATCAAAGATACCCGGTCTCGTAATTTAAAAAGCGGCCAACCTTCGCGACTTTCCAGTGGAATCCGTTTTTATTGGCTTTTCGCAATAGAAAGAGAGTAGAGCTGCCGTCTGCGCGTTTTATACATGAGAATAAAATACACGTCAGCACTTCAACTGCTGAAATGGCACGCAACTTAGTGTGATGCAAAAGAGAATTATGAAATTTATGTCACACACCCCACTTAATTTCAATTCTGTCCAAAAGTTTCATATAAAAGGAGATGCGGAAAAAAACCACTTCGCCCCTTTTCTGTGCAAGAAGATAAAAGCAGTCGTTAAGGCTGTTAAATTAAAATGTAACCCTTTCTGCGAGCACTTGAACTAATAACTCGTTGATGACACATTTACGGCCATTTTTCTTTTGTTATTAAAATCAGTGTCGTTTGAGAAAATCTCGTTTCTTTTGCGCCACGAGCTCTCTTATTTTCTCTCCGTTCAAACGAAACCAGTTTTGAGCTCCATTTTGGGCCTCGGCGGAGAAGTTTATTTCCATCCGACGCCGACAGAAGATTAGCCTCCTCTCAGCTGCATATTAAAAAAGAGAGGTCGCTGCATTTAGATCGATTCGAATCCAATATCCGGTGCATCGGATCCTTTTTTATACATCAGCTTTTCCAAATCCATCTGCCGGCTTATTAGATTGGCTGCTTTTTATGGTGTTTTCTCAGCAACGCCAAATGAGACGATCGTTATCAGCCATCAGGGATTACTTTGCATACTGATATGATGGCTGCGGCTCGGAATACATTACCCTGCGCGCCACTTGATCCAAATTCACAGCAGGGATCACTACTTGCTCACGTTCGTTTGCCCGCCTGGTGACAGCAAACGCAGAATATATTGCTTGCAGGGTTTATATTGAAAATTGAACTCGGAGGGATCAGAAATGGGGCAGCTAGACTATTGGCAAATATTTGCGCTTCGGCTCGAGCTGATATCTATGGAGTGTGCAAGGAAACGAAAACTAACGGCTCGTCACGACAGAGATAGGCTTTCTTGAGCCTTTCAACGGATGCTTTTCCACGTAAATCATTAGAGGAAAACCAATTGAAAAGTTTATATTTGAGATTTGATTAATAAAATATAAATACCAGAGTCGCGTTAGATTAAATATAACAAATTTCTCACCTTGCGGTATATTAGATTTAAATATACCATCCATTTTGGAAATTGATTTTGATATGGAAATTTATTTTAACAAATATTGTTTATTTCTAAAATTTAATTTTAAAATGTGGATGAGATTTGTGTTTTTATTCCAATTAAATTGCATTTATTTTTCATTCTCATTTTTCCATTTTTTTTTAGTTTTTAACAAACAAATTTTTCATAAATTTTAAAAAGAAATTCTTAGACAGACTTGGAATTGGCATTCTTGATTTCTGCCGGGATTCAAGTCTTAAACATTTTCCCCTCTGCTCGGACAATGAGCGAAAGACCATTTAAAACAGATCTTCCTGCTTTTCTGCGAGCAACAGTTTTAAAAAGTTTAATGGGTTCGAGACGCTAATTAAGTGTTCGTCAGAAGTGATTGATGGTCGTCGTAACACATCAATAAAAATTGAGGCAATAATGGCAGCTCTTTCACAAACACACACTCTCAGCAACATAATAATACATTAGTGTGTTTTGCCGCCACCGCCGAGAATTATTATTATTTTAAACGCCGTTTTATTAATCTATAAAGAGGCCTTTAACACTTCTGTTTAGTTGTGTTTTACAGCCATTTTTAATTTTAATGGCCGCCAATAATAAATGCGTGTAACTCACACTCAGAAACCCTTAAACTTTTTTATTATTTATACTTTGAGTAGCGTGGCGTGCGTTTGTTGCTATACCTGAAATCCAGATCTGCCTGCGTGTTAGTGCTCTATGGCTGTGCCACTGCCACTATTATTTTTTTGTTTTTGATGGTCCCGCGCGAGAGGCGACGAGACGCGCACGCAGAAAATATACTCAACAATATTTCGCTCCGCCGCCCACAAGAGCAATGATGATCATAATAAAAGGCCATCATCGCCACTAAATCTGTTTTTATTCGCGGCAGTTAACTCTTTTTATAATGGTTTTACGATTTGTTACCTTAGGTTAAGGTGTCTGTGCGAGAGTGTATATGGCTTTTTGAACGCTCACAAACTATACCACAGCGAAACAGCTGATGTGCCCACGTCATATAAAAAAATTCCAAAAAATTAATGAACGAGAAAGGAAGAATGAGTTCATTTTTACAAAAATAAAAAATAAATCGACCTCTCAATTAATAAAAGCCTATGATTAAGAAATTTTAATATATACTTCTTTCTATGCTTTAAAATTTATACTTTCAGCCGGACTAAATTAAGATTGTAAATAATTTAATTATATACCATAGAATCCTACCTTAATTCGAGGTCAGCAGGTGATTTTTTCCGTCATATAAATTATCAAAAGTAACATTTTATAACATCTGCCTGGCGGTCGGCTCTAAAATTATCTCCTAATTAAAAAAAGGAGTCTGAATTTTTATTTGCATACTTTTCGTCAGCCCTTTTCAGACGTTGAAAACATCAAGGAAAGAGCAGAGCCTCATCGAAAAGTTGCCATTCTGCCAGCGTCCGCGCTTTTTGCCCGTGACCTGCGTGCTAATTAAAATTTACAATCGGAATCTGGGTGGTCCTGGCGTTTATCCGACTTGAAGAGTGGACAGTGGGAGTGCTACACGTGATATAAAGGTGGAATTATTTATATTATGCTCCGTGAGATTTATAAAAATGGAGTCCGGCTACATCATTAGCTCTTTGATTCCCAAGCATTACATATACGTTTCTTTAATTCCTCTTTCAGTTTTGACAGCGGCTATATAGTAATATCACCAAGTTATACTGTGGAGCAGTAAATTCCGTGCATTTTTACAACTTGTAACTTAGTAATAGGCAATAAAATTTTGGCCTCAAGGAGTGACCTCAGAGAACGATTATGTACAAGAAAAAAAAACTCCAGTGCCCTGTCAACCACACTTTTGATCTTATCCAAGCGTGTATCACTTTCCATGAATTTAAAAAAAGAATCATTATTGGCAAAAAATTCCAAACGCAACTCTCAATTTTTTTTTTTAACAACCGTCTTTTGAATTTAAATTATGTATTAAGCCGATTTGAAGTCTGGCACGGCATGCATGATTATCATTATAATTATTACACTGTCGACGGGTGCTAAATGCGATGGCTATCGCACTCTCTCGCTTTATTTGCTTGTACTAACAGCAATTACGTGATGGCATTGTGTGTGCGCTGAGTGAATTTCTCACAGAGGCGCGCACCCGAAAGAGCAGCGGTCGTTAAATTTGATGTGCATTTAATTTCTTTTATCTGCACCGCAATCTGGCCTCAGGTGCTGGATCATCATTAAAACACGGAAGCCGAGTGTGGTGGGCGAATCTCGGGCCCAATTTGGGATGTGAATCGAACTTAGAACTCCGCGAGCATGGTGGATATATCGGAGCAAAATGGCGCGCGCTTCCGAGAGAGACGCGAGTGCGGCGCCGAGCCAACGACGGCCGCCATCACTACCCCGCAGATGGTCGCTCTAAATCGAGTCAGGAGCAATAAATTGTCATTAGAAAATTTATCGACAGCAACTTGCAAGGATAAAATAATTAAACGCGGTTGATTTATTTACTTGGAGAATTTATGAACTCTCGGAATTGCAATCGTCATTTATATAAAAATATTTTTTCCAGAGTAATTAAAATTCTCTATATCTTTCTAAGAATTTTATGGTTTGCAAAAATAATTGTCTGCGTTTTAAAGCAATTTTATTAATTCCGAAATGCCAAAAAGGGGACCGCGCGCATTTTTTGCAGCTTTTTTTATAATCCAAACGTCCACTCTGTGCGTGCACCGAGTGCTTAATTAAATTGTCCCTCGGCTGATAAATTTTTCCATCTAAACTCAGTTGGGAGTCGTAAATTAAACGCCATTTGTATGGAAGAGAAAAATAATAGCGCACCTTTGGAGCGTGTAATTACTCTCGGTGCGCTG